TGAAGAAATTACTGAACATTCAGTCCATTGAACGTGAGTCCTCGGCAGCCTTGAAGGAGCTGCAAAATACAATTCAAAATTGCCTCACATCCCTAACTCTGTCCGGCCTTCCTACGGATAATTGGGACTGCCTCCTGGTTTATTTGTGCTCCACGAAGCTTCCAAAGCTGACGCTTTCCTTATGGGAGCAATCCTTAACAAATAAAACCGATATTCCGTCGTGGCTAGAACTCGATTCTTTCCTTACTGAGCGCCATAGAACTCTGGAAACCATCGATTCTCTCCAGCCTCCTACGATATGCCTCCGTTCGTCTAAACCGACGATCTCCAACCAGTCGCCACGAGTACTACAATCCTTTAGTACGCGGATTGTTCACTTATCCAAAAGATGCGATTTGTGTTCTGCAGAGAACCATCCAGTGCGTAAATGTCCACGCTTCCTCCAAATGACGATAGAAGATCGTACTTCATACATTGAGAAAAAGCAGTTGTGCTTAAATTGCTTTGCAAGCGGTCATCCACTCCGTAATTGTACAAGCGCCCACAACTGTCTGACTTGTCACGGTCGGCATCACACATTGTTGCATCCAAGCAACACTTCATCCAGTGTTCCGAATCCTCGTGATAACGCACCACAAATTCCTGCACCCATCCAAAGGATTTCCTCGTTCTCCACACGAGTGACCACTTCTGCCGATTCCTCCAATTACTGGGTTCCATACGACGATAGCAAGAGCAGACGTTCCCGAGGTATTTTATCCTACCAATGCCGAGTCTGCCAAGGGAACCATCCTCTTCGGAAGTGTCACCGTTTTCTCCGGCTTGATGCGAAGAAACGGCTCCAGACAGTCATCGACAGGAAGTACTGCGTCAACTGCCTGGCCCACCACCATTCCGGAGGATCCTGTCGAAGTAGCGACCGATGCCAGTCGTGTGGACAGGATCACCACACCCTTCTACATGCCGACGAACGCTCAGCGTTATCCTACGCTTTCCAGAGCTAATACTTCCTGGTACTTTTGCTGCGTATCCTCGCAAGGGGGGAGAATGTTCACGCCAGAAAGGCGCTCAATTTCGGGAGGCAGTGTGATCCCGAACGCTCTCCTTTTCTCTCCCTCTTCCTCCGGACTTCCAGTCCTAGAGCTTCCAATCCGCTCTCCCTAGCATTAGTTTCCTTTGTATATTTAGTACTAATTTACCTCTTACTCAATAAACATCCCGACGCACGTCGCGTAAAACCCCGACAAGTTCTACGTGTTATTATTTATCCGAGTGCATTTCAGAGTTAAAGCCGCCCCCCTTCAACAAATATTATTTTAAAATTATGATATCTGATCTCTGATATTTCACTGTCCAGATAAGGACACCTACAATATTATTCCAATTAGCTTGTAAATAAATTTCCCTAGATAACAAACTGAAGATAGAAAATTCTTATCATAAAGACATGACAACTTGTCAAGGAACACATTTATATATATTCCCCCTTATCTTTGAAAATATTAGATATATAAATGTATATTTTTCCTAGCTATTAGCCAAATTGCCATAACTTTGAAGAGGGTTCTCCCCCATATTTAGAAGAGAGTTGTAGAGCCGTGGAGCTTGCTCACTCTCCCGCTTCACAGCCAACAGCTGCTGATTAACACAAAACACAAGGCGACAGCGATGACAGCGACTTCAGAAAGCACAGATATGTCAAGCGTATCACCAGTAGACCGGTTAGAATCCAGAAACCCAGAAAAATCCCACAGCGAACTGCAGTTCTCCGCCAATTAACGACAATTACTCAGACACAGGGCCCTCTAGTTGTACTCACAAACACCCAATTGGTCTCGAAGTACATGGCCAGCTCCAGATGCACTTGATGGAATCCGCATACTCCAAACACACTCGAGCGTATATCTAATCGCGAAGCGCACAATGTTTACTATACACAGAGAAAAACACTAACTAAAATTGGAAAATAAGAGATTAAGAGTGAGAATTTATTGAATTTTTCAAAAAATTCGCAACATTGAAACGAGTTTTGAAATCTATATATCTTTATTTTTAGAATATTTAATCAAATGAATGTGATTTAAATTAAAAATAACTTTTAAAATTAATTTAAGTAAAGTATTTAGACTACGTTAACTATAATTTGTATTATTAATCTATAGAAAAGCGAGTTCAAATATTTTTAAGCAGAGTCACAATTTGTCTTTAATTTTGTTTTCGTTAAAAAACAACGCTGTTCTTATCTTGACATATTTATTATCATCTTTTTTGTTAAATTAATTTACGACCCTGTTATTATTTTGAAATATGACGTACTTTTCTAGCCCTGTCAATGAATAAGATACAGAAACTATTTCCAATTTTAGATATGTGTTTTTGTTATATTTCTCGCGGTGTAGGCGCGTTCGGATCGAGCGATTCCCGCTTGGCTCACATGGAGCCGCGTCGAGCACTGAGACCGCGGCGACACTGGAGCGGAGAGCTTTTCCCACCCGGCCAAGGCGAGCGGTGTCAATTAGCGGCACAAATATAGCGGCAATATAATCGAACGTTGTCAGTGAGCAGAGAGTAAAAAGAATATAGAATATCAACAAGAGCGATAAGCTCCCCGGAGAGCCACTGAAAGTGAATACAACATGACCATAGTTAGTACTAAGCTCTCGGCGATCTCAAACACGGGCTGTGTTTTTGCAGTAAATAAACTCGGGGAAAAAGTTTGACGGAAAAACTTGTGCTCACTTTAAAGGCGGTTTAATGCCCAGCATAAAAAGAATAAAGTGTTCAGGCCATAATTATGTTGATTCTCGAAAGTTTTTCATTTTCTGCGCTCTTTTTAGTGCTCGGCTGGCTGCCACCCGCGGCCACAACTCAAACAATTAAAGTTTCGAGTCAAACAGCTGGCCACCAGCTCCTCGCTTGCCGGCGATAAGCAGCTGTCAGTCAACTGGCTGATAGTTGATAAAATAGAAAAGAACGCGAATAAAGAATCCGAGGGAACGGAATCCACAAGATACTCAACATTTAGAAACATTTTTGGTGCATACTTTCAGGCGGTTACTGCAGTTTTCTCTCTTCAATATTCTAAAGCCTGTTCTGGATTTCACTTTATAACTAACTCTTGCCCTTTCCTCTTTACTAAAGGGAACAAATTACAAATTTATATAAATTTCAAAGAAAGTATTTTAATAAATATTCAAAATACAGTCAAAGAAAATATTAAAAAAGACTAAAGTTTACTGAGACATTTCTTAAAATCATCAAACTAAAGAAAAAAGAAAGAATCTACCTAAAAAAAAAAACATACTTTCAGATAATACCTTTTTAAAATTACAATTTACTAAAGTAAACAATTTTTTAAAAAATTAATAAGCAAAAAAATGGTTAAACAAAATAGAGATAAAAAATCTACTTTACCAATACTCTGGTTTATTCTTTAATATTATTAGTTTTATTATTATATCATTTCTAGATTTTAATTTCTTTTATTTAATTTTAAAAAATATATATTACTAGATAAATGTAATACAAAACCAAGGGAATTAAACTCTGTTTATGAAACTACTCAATAGAATGAAAACATTACTTTCAACAAGATCTATTTAATTATTTTGTGAATTAGAGTTTACCAGCAAATAAATGCATATTAATCTTAATGACTTGCTAATAATCTACCAAAAAAAATACAATACAATTCTTGTAAAATGATGGCAAGAAGTGAGAACAAGAACTGGCCTAATTAACTAAGTAATGCAACAATCTATGTAGGTGAGAAAGCAAGCTACTGAAAATAGTTTCGCAATAAATACTTGAAATGCCCACAAAAAAAAGTTGGGGCCAACTAATTACCACGATATAGTTGAAAAAGAAAACTCTACGAACAAGAACTGGCAATAGTTTGGCTACAAACTAGAACTAGACAGTTTCCAAGGCCATTGAAAGGGGGGAAAACTCAAGAGGTACATAATTGTAGAGCGAGTAGAGATTTTGTATTTTTTTTTTTGTAAGTTTTTCCGGGACAAAGCAGTTTGGCAGTTAGTCAAATAGTAATTATATGGCAGAGATAGAGAAGGTAGAGGAGAGAGTTGTTGGGGGAAGAGATTATATAGATCAAATCAAAAGCACCTGGAGAGAGATAGGTGTTTAAGGGGGAAGAAGGAAGAAGAGGAGGAGTAGTAGGATAAGGAGGAGATATTGATTGGTTCCTCCATAATCGAGACTCGGATTTTGCTTACCGGCTTCGCTTTGGGCTTCTGCTTGGCCAAACGCTTCTGTTTCAACATCGTCCGTCGTCAGCGGACGCACAGACACGCACACATAAACAACTGAAACTTGGGTAGGGGCTGGGCGGTGGATTTTATTTTTTCTTTTTCTTTTAATTGGAGGTCACAGGACGCAGTAGGCAGGAGCACAGTATCGCTATCGGTATCCGCTATCCGCTTCAATAGATTCCCGCCTGCGAGCGAGGCTTCTCGGCCTGCAGGGTTTGAGAAAAACAATTATGAAATATCAATTATTTATTGTCTGGCTAGTGTTCGGCTTTGTCTTTTGTCGTGCAGGCATGCAGAAGGATATCTTTTCCTCTTATCTCCCGGGGGATTTGTCACTTGTCATGCACACCGTACATAAGTTGGCCATATCCTGGCGTTTAAAGCACCAACAACAAAAAAATACTACCACTACAGCGGCAGCGGCAGAAAAGCACCTGTATTAAGACCGGGTCTTTGTGCGTGTAAACAAAACGGCAAACAAAATATAAACAAATGAAAAACGAAAGCCAGGACGAAGCACACGCAAAATTCAAAACAAAATAAATACCACGAAATTTTCCCCATTCACCTTGCACCCAATTATGAGGCCCTCCAAGGAATGCCAATGAAAGGGTTTCGGTCTCTGTTAATGCATGCTAATTGTGTTTGCTTAGGAGAAGCAGGACGAATAACGAGAAACGAAAAACGAAAACAAACCAAGGACTCCCAAAGACTCGAAGGCTATTCACTCACCTTAACGGGCTTCTTTACGGGCACTGGACGCGAGTACTGATGATAGACCTGGACATGGTTCGAGGTGAATTTACCCAACATGAGGAGGAGGCGCAGTCCGAGGAGGAGCCTTTCGGGTGTGGGTTTGATGTAATTCTGGAAAGAGTTGAATGAATTATTACCACAAATTCATATGTACCACTGAGGCAGCTCAGGTTAACTCCTACACTTGGAGTAACCTTAAGTGAGATATTTAATTATAATTACAAATAATTGCAGGTAATTTCTTGAAGCTATAATTGGGCCAAGCCTGTAATTAGGATTTAATTACCCTTAACATAATTTCTTAAAAAGAAAACACTATCAGGAAATATTATTAAAAGTGGAATAGTATGAATTTGAATAGATAGAAGACCTCACCTTTAAGGACTATTTTTAGTCTTAAATAATTGTATAATATATTTTAATATTCTATATTTTTCCTTGCTTTGTAATTTTAAGAGAGTTCAACTCTCTACCTTTAAGCTTAATGTATAAACTCCAAATAAAGTCTCAAAAAATTACCTATTAAGGTGAGAAAACCCCTTTTCTCCTTCTCTTTTCCCAGTGCATAGAACCCTATATGACCTTTCTATTGTGACGGAAGCAGGAGCAAATGCGTGAGCGTGCCGCACATGGCTCCGAGCTCCTTGCTCCCTGTTGCTCCATCTCCCAGTGATTCTCCGCCTCCGTAGACCTGGCTCTAGCCGTATCCGTCTCAAGTGACAGGCCGAGCGCTGAGCTGTTCTTCATTACAGTAATGCGAGCTGGCCAAAGTCCTGGCCAAGGGAAATGGGAAATGGACCAGAGAAGGGGGACCAAAGGGCGAGGCATTAAAGGGGGCAGAGGGCAAGGACGTGAGTGGGCGTGAGGGCCAGAAAGTGAAATAAAATAAGCGCTGGAAACAGCAAAAGTTATGCCAAGTATTCCGGCTAAGCATGAATCAAGTGCCACAACACGAGCACCAAGACAGAGCCTGAGAAGCAAAAAGCAAAAAACAAAAAACAAAAAAAGACATAATAAGCGAGAGGCGCAAAGCCAGAAAAGCGACGAAACCGAGGAAGGCTAAGAAAAAGAAGGAAAAAAAAAAGTAAAAGTAAAGCCCAAAGACCCTGCCCAATGTCAAAGTCTGCTGCTACGTCCTATGCCGGGTGCTCTTAATTTGCGGAATTCAAGACATTCGCTTTCATTCGAGATTATACTCGAGCATTATAATCCGCTGGAGCGATATACACTCGTAGACCAGTGTGTGTGTGTGCTCCAGCTCCTGGAGAGGAAAAGGCAATATAAAAAAAAAAGAAAGCTAGTAGACGACACACAACAAAATCAATATCTAAATACGATTTCCACCCACATGTGATTAACTTTTGTGCAGTCAGTAAGGCACAAAATTGAGATAACGCGCCATTAAATTTATGCATGAACAAAGGACATTTTAGCCCAAGTACGAAGGACACGTCGCTCCCTGATTGCCCAAACTTATAATTGGACTTTAATAAGCAATTGCCTGCCAGGCATCTCTCTTTCTCTGTGTGTGCGGTCGTTGTCCTGGCATTATTCAGGACACTTTAGCTTGTTGTTAGATGAAAGGTAAAAAAAAATGTACAAAAGTACTTGGCGGCTGTGTGATTAACGGCAGTATCAATCGCGGATTAAGGACCGCAACAGAACTTGGGGAAAACCTACCAAGTTTCCAGCGGTTTTCATCCGCAAATTACATTGAGTCAAGAGGTGTGTGTGTGTGTGTGGGCCACCACTTCTCCAGCACTAAAGATGGAGCACTGAAGGACTGAAGCTCTAGAGGACTGCTCTTGAGTGCCACAATCAGTCTGCCAAGTCCGAGTGTGAAATTTACACGACATCCCGCATTTGCGTCACTGTTTAAAGATTTTCCTACCCCCTCATTCACCCACTCACGCGGCACAAAAGGAGACGACGACGAGGATGAAAGGAGCAATGGATGGTTGGTTGGATGGATGGATGGATGCCAACCTGCCTGGGGCCATGTGCCCTGGCATGTGCACAGTGCCCCCAGTCAAGACCGGGTTCCAGTTCCGCTTCCACATTATATTCTTTATTGTCCTCGTCATTTGTTTTATAAAAGCGTGATTCCAATCCTCTTAGCATTCCCCTCAAAATGTTTCTAAGAAAGGAAACATGCACATATGTTTTGTATAAATGTATTTCCGGAAAAAAAGAAACAACGATTTAACTTGAGCTTGCTTTCGACAACAATTTGTAATTAAAATTTATATCTTCGCCAAGTCACGTGCAAAGTCACCTGTGTGGATTAATGGGTTTAATCTTATTAAGAATACTGAATTTAAAGGTATTTTATTTCAGTTTTTATACAAAATATTTCGATTTATATTTATAAACTATATATCTTTGCTTATTTTTAAAGCAATCATTTATTTTTAACATTTTAGGTCAACTTTTTAAGCTTCTTTAAATGTTTAATGTGTGTTTATTTATAGGAAGTTTAGTCCATTTCATGCTTAAACCTTTTAATTAATTAATTAACATTTTAACATATATTTATTTGATGTTTATCTTTATTTCTTAAGTGTTTAAAAAAGCGTAGATTATTAGGAATTTCTAACCATTTCTAAGCATTCTTTACTTTCCTCGACTTTTCAAGGCGTTAGACAACATTTCAGCTTAAAAAAGCCATTTCCTCTCACTTCATTTAACATTGATGTGAAGACATTTATAGATTATAGGATATTTTATGTCAGTTCTATATTTCTACATTTAACTTTATGCATCGCTTTGGGAAATATGAATCTCCAAAAAACCCATAAATAAAACAGCGTTAATCAAAGATGATAAGTATTCTGCAGCTGCTGATGATGCCACCTTAAAAAATGTGCTAATTATTCAAACATCAGTCATTGGCAATTGTTTTTGTTGGGAAGCGACATAAGAGAAGGAGGAATTCCGGCGGAGGACACTGTGCATCGTCCAGCCAACTGTCGTCAACTGTCAGCCAGCGGAGTGCCAAGGAGAGATCTTGCCCGGATGAATGGGCTCCTAATTGAGATAAGACTGACGCAGGCTGCCGCCTCCGGCAATGAGAAATGAACCCACTGGTGGACAGCTCAAAAAAAAAAAAATAACACTTTCGCTGAGACTGGCTTGGAGTAGGTATTATTCCCCCTTTCCGGCACTGTCCGGGGCCGAACAAATTAGTGAGGCCAAGAGCAGCGACGGCTGGCGGACTCTGATTATTGGCAATGCAAACGGCGGACGGAAAGGGGGATAATGGCAAGGGTAAACTGACCTACAAACACGATTAAAGGGGCACAAGGACATGGAACAAGACCAGGACCTGGACCCGACTCGGACCCCGACCCCGACTTGGAACTTGTGTTTGGGGGCAAAAATCTTGTGTGTGTTGCTGTTGTCTCTGCAATCATTCAAGCGCAGACAAATGCCCTGGTGTTTGTTTATGTCAACATTGTGTCCTGTGCCACTTGGTCCCCACCACCACTAGGGTTCTTTTCTTCTTTTTGTATTTTTGTTGCTGCCAGGACATGGCCGACATAATGGGTCTCATCAGGCGAGAGGGCAAGCGGCTAACCAAACGAGAACGTGAACGTGAACAACCCGGATTGAATACTCGTTTAAACTGTCATCATTCGCCGTGTGTGCCATGAATGATTTGTGTGGCCACCATCCAAAGGACGCTAAAAGTAGCCAAAGATTTATCTCGCTTTAGTCGGGGCATCCTTCGGAGCCATTCATCTTAATTAAATATCTATCTATCGTCGGCCAATATGCTTGAGTTCGTGTGGCTTTTGTATTCGCTTTTGGGCCGCATTAATTTTATGGGCCAACTTAATGTGACTTGGCTTTCAATATAGTGTAATTTCAGGTGATTAATTTGTTCTTTTTCTTTTGATTTAATTAAAGGAAAATCATACAAAAGTGCTTTATAGACATCGATTTATATACACAAGTGTGTTAAGTATTTAAAAAAACATAAACCATGTTATGAGTGTAAATCTTTTTGGTCATAAACATCATCAGGAAAATGAAGACCATAATAAACAATAATTGTGTGTGAGCATTTCGAAGGAACATACATATATTTGGTCATTAATAATAATATGCCTTACTTTATATAGGAAGTGCCTTTAAACTTAATTTATGGTTGCAAATGTTGAACAATTTTATACCACTTATATTTGTATATAGACTAAGTTTCGGGGAATATGATAAACAAATATGATTTTGATGATTTCTATACTTAAATGATTCTAAGTGTTAATTCTTGAATATTCTTATCATATAAATCAACTCAAAAGTCTTAAATAAAATTAAAATAAAAATCTCTTTAAGAAACCCATAAAATATTCCAGTAAATCTTTATAAAATTCATCAATTTTTTCAATGTTTTCTTGCAGTTTAAATGTAAAATGTATTATTTGCAAATCCTTATTTAAATAACATAGAAAAAGTAATGTTTTTCCTAACATTTCCTTTCAAATATGATATTTACAGTCATTCCAGTTTTATTTTTAAAATTATATCAATTATCCTGTCCAATAACTAAATTTCAAAGCCTTCTGTTTCAGACAAGATGTCATTTTGGTGGTTTGGGCCTCAATAAAACAGACTGAAGTTCATTTTATTCAAATTTGCTGGCTCAAATTAGAAATTGAAGGCCCAGCACATCTAATGCCAGCATTTTGGGGCCAAAAGCCTTTTTTAAACGAGTTTTCTGGGCCTAGGCAAAGGCTGGCAAAGTAAATACATCGAGACAAAGTTGGCCAACGACGACGACGACAAATTGGGAGGCTGAAAGTAGCGCAACAAATGCTGCCATAACGACAATGCCCAGGCAGCAGCAACAACGGCAGCCATAAATTTTTGGGACTATATACAGCCCACGTGCTCGCTAGTCCTCGTGTCCCCGTCCTTATCCACATGCAGGACCATTCGTATCGAGCAGATGTGAGGCGGTTTTCCCACTGCGACGACATGTGCGAATGCGTATACGTAATATTCTATGAATCGAGCTGGAAAAGCAGGAGCAGCAGCAGCAGCAATGGCACAGGCAGGTCCTTTCAATTTATGCAACCATCCGACAGCAATTCGCCTTTAATAGCTGG